CGGGCGGCGACCCCCGACGGGGCGCCCGCCAACTTGACGGTGGCGGTGGTGCTGCCGGAGCGCAACGTGAGCTACGCGTGGGCTTGGCCGCGCGTGGGTCCGGCGCTCAGCCTGGCGCTGGAAGCGCTGGAGCGGGGCGAGCCGCCGCTGCTGCCGCGGCCCTTCTCGGTGCGCGTCGAGTTCATGAGCTCGGAGCTGGAGGGCGCCTGCTCCGAGTACGTGGCACCGCTCAACGCCGTGGACCTGAAGCTCTACCACGACCCCGACGTGCTGTTCGGGCCGGGCTGCGTGTACCCCGCCGCGTCCGTGGGGCGCTTCGCCTCTCACTGGCGGCTGCCCCTCATCACCGGCGGGGCGGTGGCCGCGGGGTTCAGCCGCAAACGGGAGCACTACAGCACCACGGTGCGCACCGGGCCCTCGGCGCCCAAACTGGGCGCCTTCGTCTCCCACCTCCACGCGCACTTCAACTGGAGCGCCCGCGCCGTGCTCCTCTACGTGGACCGCAAGACCGACGACCGGCCCTACTACTTCACCGTCGAGGGTGTCTACCAGGAGCTGCAGGATGGCAACAACCTCACCGTCACCGTCCACATCTACTCCCCCGAGGAGGGCGGCCCCGACAGCGCCGTCCACTTCATCAAAGCCAACGGGCGCGGTGCGTGGGGTGCGGGGGGGACACCGCGACCGCGGGCTGAGCGCCCGGGCAGCGGGGGCGGCGGTGTGGGAGTGGGAGGAGGAAGGGAGAGCGGAGGGGGCTCCCCTCGGGAGATCTGCGCAGGGCTTCGAGGGGGGGAGGCAAAATCCTCCGCGGGGCACAGCGAGGGGCTGAGGGTGAGGTGGGATCGGGGGGGGGGCACTGGACCCGTCTGGGGCACAGCAGGGGGAAGGATGGGGTGCAGCAAGGGGACTGGGGTACCGTGGGCGGCATGTAGGGTACAGCAAGGGGTTAAGGGAACAGCAGGACACGTCTGGGGCACAGAGAGGGGATGGGGATACAGCGGGACCGCTGCAGGACACAGCAAAGGACGGGGGATACGGTGGGATTCACTTGTGGCAAAAAAAGGGACCGGGGTGTCAGTAGGACCTGTTTGGGGCACACCAAGGGATTAGGGGGCAATGGAGATCCACAGAGGGCACAGCAAGTGTCAGAGAGGGCAGTGAGATACATGTGGGGAGCAGCAAGGGGATGGGAACAGAGTGTGGTCATGTGGAGTGCAGCAACTGTCCAAGGAGAGAGACAGTGGCACCTTTGTGGGACACCATGAGGGTCTGAGGACACACAAGTGGGACTTGTGAGGGGTTGAGAGCAAAATGGCGCCCACGCAAGGCACGGCAAGGGAACAGGATCTGGTGGGACTCGGGGGTGCAGCAGGGACTGGGCAGAGTGATACCTGTGGTGGGGCATGGCAAGGGGCCAAAGGGAGAGTGGGACCCCTGTGGAGCTCTAGGAGGGGCTGGAGGCACAGTGGGACCCCTGTGGGACACAGGGAGGGTGGGGAAAATGAGCTCTGTGTGGGGTGCAGTGAGGACTGAGCACATTTTGTCGCAGTGGGGCTGGGGGAGCAGCAGGACCTGCACAGGAGGCGAGTTCACAGGGGACAAGACAGAACCTGAGCCCCTTCCCAGACCAAACCCTGTGTCAGTGGAGGGGCCAGGATGCAGCAGGAGGAGGGGGCATAGTGCCTCCCTCCCAGGCCCCCAGTCCAGTCAACATTTGCCAGCAAGAGCTGGGGCAGACCCCCAGCCTGCTTGGTGGGATAGGTGCTGTGAGGGACACCCTGTGGGACCACCCCACCCTCTGTGTTAGCAGGATCAGAGTGACCCAGGCATGTCCTTGGAGGCTGAAGGTGATGGAGGGGATGTGGCTCTCTGGAGGACAGCATCAGCTGTGCTTACATACCTAGAGAACCATGGTGCCACCATACCTAGGTGACTGTGCCGTGGCAGAGCCCCCCAGAGTGGCACCTGGGCACCCCAGGCTGTGCCTCGCCCCTGCTGCACCCCCAGGATGGGGCTGTGATTGCCCCACCCTGCTGATGGAGGGATAAATCAATTTGTTGCCTTGCGAGTGCCCCAGGAGAGCAGCTATATTGGGAGCGGGAGGAAATGGAGGGGCTTGCAGAGGCAGCTGGAGAGCAAGGGCAGCCTGATGCTCTTTCATTATTGATGAGCAGGGTGTATCAATCCTGGAGTCAGCCACTCTGCAATGCTTCTTAATGGATTCTGAGATGCTGTGTCATTAGGAAGGACATCTAGCCCGGATAAGTGGAGCCAGATGGGCCAGCAGGACTTGTGTCCAAGGCTGGGCAGGACCAGGCTGCAGGGGGGAGGTACTTTGGGGTGCTGCACTGGGTTCCCATCAGGATTGAGGCCAGTGAGGCTGAGTCCATGGCTGAGTGTCCCATGGCTGCCCCACTGGGATGGGAGCTCTTGTGTGTGCCATCACCAGCCATGGGGTTCAGAGCTTCTTATGGGGTGAGGGCAAAGGACTCAGCAGGGAGAAGGGCTGAAAGCAGGGATTCCCGTCAACATTTCCATCTTGGTGCCATAAATCACCCCAATGGGAATCAATCCCTCCTGGTGCAGGCAGGGGGTTGTGGCTGCTGGGGGAGAAGACCAGACATGGCAGAGACCCAAGAGCTTTCTAAGCTGGGGTTGTAGTATCACAGAACCATGGAAAGGCTTGGGTTGAAAGGGACATTAAAGATCATTTAGTTCCATGCCCCTGCCATGGGCAGGGATGTTGAGAGGGTCTGAGCCTCTCTGGCCACAGCTCAGAGTTGGTGCCAGGGTGTGGGGCTGAGTGCTTGGCCCCACAGAGGTGGGTGCTCAGGGCTACAGAGGTGGTTGTAGGTCCTTTCCTAGCCCAGGTGTGTGGGACAGGGAATGGAGACTTGCAGGGCTGTCCCAGGGGTCGGGACTCCTGTGTGGAATAGCAGGGTCTTCAGCTGCATCCATGTCCATGACCTGCAATAACTCCATGTATCATCCCTCTTGGCACCACCTTCCTTCTCCCAAGTCATGGGCAGGAGTTTGGTGAACATTTCCTAGAGAAAGCTGCTTCCCTGCCCCTCTGTGCATCCCCAGCACTGCTGGTTCTGGACATTCACAAGTCTAATGAGCGGGCACGAGGGGGGGTGGGATTGCCCCTCTCACTGGTGCCTGGACGACGTGCAGGGGCCCACGTCTCTCCTGCCATTTGCAAAAGCACTGATATAATTAGAGCTGTGGTTGAGGGAATTACCGGAGCATCTGCCTGCAAAAAGCCCAGGTGCCCTGCCTGGGGAGATGGCTGGGTGGTGCTGCTGGAGGGAGTGCATTTAGCCTTCACCCCTGCACTCTCCCTGAGCCAGGACCGTGGTCTCTGTGCTGCAGTTCCCTGTGCTGGTGGGATTGCTTGAAAGTGGGATTTTCTGCCTGAACCTGGGATTTGCCCTCATTTCAGGATTGTCTTCCATCATGCAGGGGTCAGGCAGTGTTCTGCCACCTCATCTGCATGCTCGTGGTCTTACCCCTTCCCTGGGACCTGGCACTCTGCCACCTACACCAGAGACACCCCCTGAATAAATGTCAGGGGTCTGGATGCACTCCAACCTTGCAGAACTTCACTCCTCTTCTTCTGGGTGATGCTGAGGCTGCCTTTGGCCATTTGCCGGCCCCTGGGGCACGTGTGAGCCCCCTAAGGCGCTGCTGGCCACGTAGGAAGCTGCCAGCTGGAGGCAGCTGCCTGCCTTAGGGAGAGCCCCAAGCAGTGACCCTTCCTTCTGCACAGCTCATGCAGCCTGTCCCCAGGGAGCCGTCTAGGCGCCGTCCATCCCCTTGCCTGGTGGCCTTTGACCAGGCAGGCTTTCGCTGCCGCCGCAGGGGCTGGCTGCCCGCAGTGTCCCACCATCTGCCACCAGCTGTTGTGGCTCCCCTGTGGCTCCCTTTCCTTGGGGCCTGCAGTGTGATGGGGAGGGTCCCGTCTATGTTCTCGGGGGGAACCCTCAGGCTCTGTGTGTCGGGGAGGTGCTGAGCTGTCCACCCTGGATGAGAATGGGGACCTTTCTTGATGCAGGACTAGCAAAGTGGAGAAGCCAAGAGTGTTTATTTGAAGTATTGCAGCATTCAGAGGGAACCATTTCAAAGCCTGAAGCAGGCTCTTGCTCACACGCAGCCCACGGTGCTGCGATTTCTCCCTCCCCCGTGCCCAGGAGCAGCTCCCCACCTTGCTGTGGATTCCCTGTGCCCAAGGGGGCTGTGCTGGGTCTCTTCTCCCACCTGTGGGCTTCCTCCCTGCCCCGTGGGTGACGCTGCCAGCCCTGCTGCCCACATGGCTGGGTGCCTGCGTGGCTGGGTGCCTTCCAGCAGCAGAGACCTCTTCCCGGAGTGCGGCGCTTCCTTGCTGTCCCCATCTCCGCCACCCCCGGGTCCAGCCGGGGCGCTGGGCCCCATGCAGAAGAGCTGTGTGTCGGGGCCAGCGCCCAAGCGTGACATTCCTCCAGCACCCGCTGCCGCCGCCTCCTCCGTTGCTCAATCCCGGGTTCCCAGCCAGACTGGCTGGAGCGGGGGCCCTGGTTTTTCCGGGGGGAGGGAGGAGGCAGTGTCAGGATCCTCAGCAAGGGCACGGAGGGCCCCTGCTCGGGGGGTTCGGACACTTTCAGCTGCCCGTCCCCACAGCCTGCGATGCTCTGCGCCAGCGGCGAGCCGGCCCCACACAGCCCTTGGGTGGGCATCCCCTGGGGGCTGGCCGAGCCCCCAGCAGAGGGTGGGGGCAGGTGGGACGTCCTGACGGGGCCCGGGCACCCCCTTGCCGTGTGGGTCACACCGGCGAGATGCTCTGTTTCCAATTAGCGGCCGCCGAAGGTGCTGGAATCTGGGAACCTGCGCATTCCTGCCGCACAGACAGCCGGCCACGAACCCAAACATGGGTTTGTCCCATTCCACAGCCCGGGTTCCCCAGGGGCCTCCGGCGCGCGGCTCCAGTGCCTCTCCCAGCCCCCCTGATTCCGTGGCTAGGGCTGGCATGGAGCAGCACGGAAGCTGATGCGGGGGGGAACATCCTCTGGCTGGCTTTGGCTGCATCAGGGTGCGTGGGGTCTGTGCCTGGGGCATCCACCTCATCATTTTGAGCAAGTTTTTCCCTGTTCTCCTCTCCCCCTTCAGTCCAAAGTGATTGATGGGGTGGGAGTGGGTCTGTGCCAGCAGGGCTGTGGGTCTGGCCGTGGGTCACAGGGAGCCAAGCACTGCCCCATCTCCCTGCTCCATCGCCCCCGCCGCCTCCCCGCGCTCCCGGGGCTGCCCTGCCCCACCTGCCCCATTCCTGGCTGTGTGCCTGGGGTGCAGTGGGGTGTCCCTGCCCCGCTGAAGCCCCTGCCTCTCTCTGGCAGTGGTGTATCTCTGTGGGCCGCCGGAGATGCTGCGGCAGATCATGCAGCTGGCGCAACAGGAGAACCTCACTAACGGCGACTACGTCTTCTTCTACCTGGATGTCTTCGGGGAGAGCCTGCGGGGCGACTCTGCCCGTGACCCCTTCAAGCCCTGGCAGGAGAGCCCGGGCCAGGACTCAGGACTGCGTGAGGCCTTCCAGGTGAGCCGTGCCCACCTGCCTGGGGACAGAAACCTCCCCAGCCTGGCCCCAGTGTGTGAACCAAGGTGCTGTGCTTGGTTGCAGATGGTGCTGGTGATCACCTACTATGAGCCCCAAAACCCTGAGTACCAGCATTTCCAAACCCAGCTCATTCTGCGAGCTAAGCAGAAATTTGGGGTGCAGCTCAACTACTCCCTGGTGAGTGAGTCCCCCTGCGCACTGGTGTGGTGGGGTCCCTTCACAGGGGTCTGAGGCATCTCCCCAGGATGCAGAGGGTGGGACACAGCCACAGACAGTGCCAGAGGGGTCATCCCTGGTGGGAACAGCCACAGGCACTGCCATCCCTGCAGGGAGCATGTTGGCCCCAGAGTGGTTATGGGGCGGTGGGTGGGTGCATGGTCCTGGTGTGAAGGTTCTGGGATGCTCCTGTGTGCGTGGCTGTGGGTGTGCTCAGATTCCCCCTGGCAGATGAACCTGGTGGCGGGGTGTTTCTATGATGGGATGCTGCTGTACGCCATGGTGCTGAATGAGACTCTGCGTGAGGGCGGCTCCAAGAAAAACGCCACCCACATCATCGAGAAGATGCGGGACCGCAAGTTCCAGGGTAACACCGGGATGGGGGAAGCTGTGCTGTGGGTGCCGTGGGGGCGGTGGAACTCAGTCCTCATCCCACCTGCGTCTTAATTTTTCCCATAGGCGTCACAGGGCTTGTGAGCATGGACAGCAACAATGACCGGGACACTGACTTCAACCTATGGGCCATGAGTGACCCCAAGACCGGGCAGTATGAGGTGGGGGGAGGTTCCCCCTGGCTGGGGTTGGGGCATGGGATGGTGGTCTGGGGGTGGCCTCATCTCTCTCTGCCTGCCTTAGGTGGTGGGACACTACTCGGGTGTGGAGAAGCAAATCCACTGGCTGGGACGACCCATCCCCTGGGTGAAGGGGGCTCCCCCCTTGGACAACCCTCCTTGTGTCTTTGATGTGGATGACCCCTCCTGTGATAAAAGTGGGTGTCCTGGGTCCCCACATCCCTTGGACCCCAGCAAGCTTCTATACGGGTGCATGTCAGTCTGGCTGTCATAGCCAGGATATCTCAGACCACCCTGACATATCCTCTCCTGCCTGCAGCCGCCCTCTCTATGCTGGCCATCGTGGCTTTGGGCACTGGCCTCACCTTTGTCATGTTTGGCATCTCCAGCTTCCTCATCTTCAGGTCAGGACTGGGGGAACCTCTGTCTGATGGGCAGGCGGGCAGGCAGGGCCGAGGGGATGGGGGCCTGACCCCTGTGTGTCTCCCAGGAAGCTGATGCTAGAGAAGGAGCTTGCCAGCATGCTCTGGAGGATTCGCTGGGATGAGCTGCAGTTTGGAAGTCCTGAGCGGTACCACAAGGCAGCGGGCAGCCGGCTCACCTTGTCCCTGGTGAGAGGAGCCATCCCTGAGGCACCACCACACCCTGCTGCTGTGCTGCCCTCCCTGCCTGCAGGACACCCCTCCCTGCTGATCCCTTTCATGACCCTCTGTTTCCTACAGAGCTGTAGCCCCACTGAATCTCTCCTCAACACAACCCTTCATCCTTATATAGCTCTCCATTCCCTATAGAGACTTATTCCATCCATCCCTGGCATGACTTTCCATCCCCTGCAGAACCACAGTAGATCCTTCCTCTGCACAGTCCTGAATCCTCTATGTAGCAACATACTTCATCAAGTATGCCCCCATATTGCCCTCCATCCCCTAAAGACATACCTTGTCCATGTCCTACACTCTGTGCAGTGCCTCATCCTGGAGTCTTCTTCTTTCCTACAGAGCATGCAGAGCTTGTCCTGACCCTTAGAGCCCATCCTGCACCATCCCCTGCACACTTTGGATGTCCCTGCCCTGCTCCATTGATGCAGGTCATCCCTCCATCCCAGGGTTCCTCTCCCTAATCCCCTCCTTCCCACAGCGTGGCTCCAGCTATGGCTCCTTGATGACCACTCATGGCAAGTACCAGATCTTCGCCAACACCGGCCACTTCAAGGTAAGTGCAGCAGGCAGGGAGCTGAGCCCTCCCCCTGAAATGCCCCAGCTCTGTTGTGCTCCCACTTGGCTGCACCCCCATCCTGCAGGGTATTGGCACTTTCCTCCCCTTCACAAATTCATCCAGTGGACATTTACCTTTTCCCCTTCCCAAACACCCCAGGGCAATGTTGTGGCCATTAAGCACATCAACAAGAAGCGCATTGAGTTGACGCGGCAGGTGCTCTTCGAGCTAAAGCATGTAGGTTTGGGGTCTGGGCTAGGGTGGGCAACCTGCTTGGGAGTGCAGGGATTGGTCCTGGGCATGTGGGAGGGCAGCAGGGGCAGCAGCTCATGCCCTTTGACCTCAAGACTATCTTGGGTCCACTTCCAATCTGCAGATGCGAGACATCCAGTTCAACCACCTGACCCGCTTCATCGGGGCGTGCATCGACCCCCCCAACATCTGCATCATCACCGAGTACTGCCCACGGGGCAGCCTGCAGGTAGTGGGGCTTGGGACACTGCAGGTGACACTGCAGGTGACACTTAGACATTCCTGGTGACGCAGCTGGGCTGCGTGTTGTGGATGCTGGTGGCCACCTGAGCCCTCCCAGCAATGCTCACAGCTGAGCTGTCCAAGCAGGTGTCAGAGGCCAGTGGAGGGGTGGGGGTGGGTGCTGCAGATTCCCTGAGCTGGGCACTTGGTGAGGCTGCCATCACCATGACCTGGGTGCTTGGTGGGGTCCACTCAATGTGCTACTGCAGGATGTCCTGGAGAACGAGAGCATCAACCTGGACTGGATGTTTCGCTACTCTCTCATCAATGACATTGTCAAGGTATCCAGCTGAGCGGTGTGAGGGGATGGGGAGAGGTGCCTGAGAGATATGAGCTTCACTGTGTCCATCTCTCCCAGGGAATGGCCTTCCTGCACAACAGCATCATTGGCCATCACGGCAGCCTCAAGTCATCCAACTGCGTGGTGGACAGCCGCTTCGTGCTGAAGATCACCGACTATGGCCTGGCCAGCTTCCGCTCGCCCAGCGACAGCGAGGACACACATGCGCTCTATGCCAGTGAGTGTCTGCCTGGGAGGACCAGCAGGATGGGGTGGCCCTATCTCACGGCTCCATTGCTTTGTCCCACCAGAGAAGCTGTGGACAGCCCCAGAGCTGCTGCAGAAGGGACACCTGCCCACCCCGGGCATGCAGAAAGCTGATGTCTACAGCTTCGGCATCATCGTGCAGGAGGTTGCTTTGCGCAATGGCCCCTTCTACATCGAGGGCATGGACCTGAGCCCTAAAGGTGAGCATGGAGAGCACATCTGTGGAGGTCCATGCCCCACCATGGAAGTCTGGTGCTCACTGTCGGCCACACCCTGGCAGAGATCGTGCAGAAGGTGCGTAACAGCCAGAAGCCCTTCTTCCGCCCCTCCATCGACATCGGGGTGCACAGCGAGGAGCTGGCAGTGCTGATGGAACGCTGCTGGGCGCAGGAGCCGGCCGAGCGCCCGGACTTCAGCCAGATCAAGATCTTCATCCGTAGATTCAACAAGTGGGTGGTTGGCACGTGGGGATGGTGGCCCTGGGTGGGAGTGGGGGCAGCCATGGGGGTGGTGGCTGGGGGGCATGTCTTCCCACAGTGCCAACTGACTGCGCCCTGCCAGGGAGGGAAGCACCAGCATCCTGGACAACCTGCTGTCACGCATGGAACAGTATGCCAACAACCTGGAGAAGCTGGTGGAAGAGAGGACACAGGCCTACCTGGAGGAGAAGCGCAAGGCAGAGAACCTCCTCTACCAGATTCTGCCCCAGTGAGAGGGGGACACAAGGGGGTGTGTGGGTCTGAGGGTTGGCGTGGGCTCAGCATGCACCTGCTGCTGTGCAAGTATGGGGTCCCTTGCCAGCTTTCCATGCTGGTGTGGGGCAAGGGTTGCAGGGGGAACAGCAGGTTTGGGGTGGAGCTCACCACTATCCTTGCTAGTTCTGTGGCAGAGCAGCTGAAGCGTGGTGAGACAGTACGGGCTGAGGCTTTCGACAGTGTCACCATCTACTTCAGTGACATCGTGGGCTTCACCGCCCTCTCGGCAGAGAGCACTCCTATGCAGGTGAGAGCAGGACTTGGGGGGCAGCACCTCTGTGGGGATGGTGGAGGTCTCACACCCTGGCAGTGCCATCCCTGGGGTTGGGGGGATGTGTCCCCTCCCAGATGCACACACACCCTTGTTCCATCCAGGTCGTGATGCTGCTGAATGATCTCTACACTTGCTTTGATGCCATTATTGACAATTTTGACGTCTACAAGGTGAGTGGTGTGTTGAGCAAGCACAGCCCCCCAGAGTGAGGCAGGCAGCAAGGAGTCCAGGTTGTAGCTGTCCCCCCTGGCCCCACAGGTGGAGACCATCGGGGATGCCTACATGGTGGTCTCAGGGCTGCCGGTGCGCAATGGGAAGCTGCACGCCCGGGAGATTGTCCGTATGGCCCTGGCCCTGCTCGAGGCTGTCAAAACCTTCAAGATCCGTCACCGTCCCAACGACCAGCTCCACCTGCGCATCGGCATACACACCGGTGAGCCCCCCTGCCAGCCAGCCAGCTGGGGAGTGCTTGCCCACCCACCTGCCCGCCCTGCAGCATCCCTGAGTGCCTCTGTGCCTGCAGGTCCCGTGTGCGCCGGAGTGGTGGGTCTGAAGATGCCGCGGTACTGCCTCTTCGGGGACACAGTGAACACCGCATCCCGCATGGAATCCAACGGCCAGGGTAAGCCAGGGCAGCTGAAGTACAGAGTCACGGGGTGTGTCCTGTTCCCATGGCACCCAGACATGTCTCTCTTGCTCCTCTGTGCTCCTCAGCCCTGAAGATCCATGTCTCATCTGCCACCAAAGAAGTCCTGGATGAGTTCGGCTGCTTTGAGCTGGAGCTGCGTGGCGATGTAGAAATGAAGGTGAGGGCACAGCAATGCTGCTGGGGTACCAGCCCTCCCAACCACAGGGAAATATGAGGGGGAGGTGGGTTGGGGCTGGGACCCCTTGTTGCTCTCAGTGCTGGGGATGACACCCAAGAAGCAGCTCCAGGGACAGGCACGGTCTAACTTGCTCACCTCTGCCTCCAGGGCAAGGGAAAGATGCGGACATACTGGCTGCTGGGTGAGAGGAAAGACCCTTAAGTCATTTGAGCCCAGTGGCTGTGGCAGAGCCCCCAGCTCAGTGGGGCCACCAGTGCTTTCCGGTGCCCCAGGATGCACCGGCACCCCCCCCATCACTGCATCCACCTCTCTACAGCCCCCCTGCTTCAGCAGGGCCTGGGCAAGGTGGGGCAGAGGCCACAGCACCGTCTGCTCCCCTCCATCAGCACCAGCAAAGCCCACCTTCCCCACAGCCTCTGCTGGAGTGGGGTGACCAGCCCTCATCCAGCCCAAGAGACCTTGTATTCCCCCCACCCTCTGAGGTCTGCCACCCCTGCCCTCTCCCTGTGGCTCAGCTGGCTCTGAGCTTCTCCGGGGCCTGGCTGCCCCGCAGGGCACTTTGCCGTCTCTTTTCAGTACCTGGCCCCCAGCAGAAGTTGTGCCCATGTCAACCCCTCCCTGGGGTGGGGGGAAATGGGGATTCCTGCCAAGACTGACTCCTTGGCCAGGTCAGGCTTCAATGCCGCAGCTGCCCCCCTCCTCAGTCTCCCCTTCCCCTGTATATAACCCCACCGGGTCATGTAAATACCCACCCCTCCTCCAGGTGTAAATATAGGACTCGCTGCAACTATTTTGTTGAAATACAAACAACCCCAGATCCATCTGTCCTGTGGCCTCTACTTCACTCTGCCCCAGCATGCCAAGTGGGGAGGGAGGCCGGGGGAACGCCAGTATGGAGCTCAGCCTGGGCTGGCGACAGCTGCCTGAAACATCCCAAGAGATTGTATCCCAGGGGTCTGTCTGCGGTGTAGGGCAGGAGTGTGGGCATGGGGAGCCAGTGCTGGGCGGTCGCAGCAGCGGCTGTGGAGGGCTTGGGCGGTGCTGGGAAGGCAGGGCCGCCGTGGGTTTGCTTTGGCGTGAGGGCTGCAGTGCGTTCCTCTGAGCTCATGCTCTGGCCGCCCCGCTGCCGCCTCTTATTGGAACACACCTGTGCCTGGGGACTGGAACAACGGCTGCGTGTCACCCGCTGCGTGCGCCGGGAGGGGACGTGTCCCGGGGGATGGGGCTGTGCCAGGGGCTCTGCCTCCATGCCTAAGGAGGAAATCTTGGGACCACGGTGTGTTTTGGGTCAACAGTGACTTGCAACAGGGCTGAAGGGTTTTCCATTTTGCTTCATGCTCTCATGGGATTTGAGATCCCAGGGACACAGTGCTCCCCCTCCAAACATCCAGCTTGAGGACAGCCTTGGGGTAGGCTGGGACCACCTGTGTCCCCTTGTTTTTTATTACTTGTGGGGCTGGAGCTGTCTGCTCAGGGGGTCGTCATAGGGGTCACAGAGGTTGAAGGGCTCGGGATGCCCTAAGTACATGGTAATGGGAGTGGAGAAGTCTGCATTCCTCTTGAAGGGAATGTTTCTGCCGAAGAGGGCAGTGACACCCTGGAAAGGAGAGAATTGGAGAGGTCTTTGTCAGCAGCTGAGACTCCCAGGGTGCTGGCAGGACAGGGTGGTGGGGGTCTTACCGGCATTCCACGGGCTTGCTCCAGCCAGAAGCTGGTTGGCTGCTCCGTTAAGTAATTGTGAGGCTGCAGTGGAAGCAAAATGTGAGCCGGGGGGGATGGCACACTCAGCAGGACAAGAGCCTTGCCACCTCCCTGGAGGCTACTGCCTGTACCTGGGTGGTGGGCTGGGGTGTGGACTGGAAACCCATGGCACGGTAGTCGTGGTGCGTGGTGGAGACAGATTCCATGCGCCTCGGGCGCGGACGGATCTCCTCCTCCGTCTCCTTGCTGCAGTCAGAGCAGACCCCACACCTCTCAGCTCTGGGATCCCTGCCTCCCCCAGGTCCCCTCCTCTGGGGCACAGCCCCAAGGGGGATCTCATGTGGGAGTGCAGGCTTGCCTGTATTTCTCGTAGAGCATGGATGCCAATGTAGCCTTCCGCTGCCCTGCAGAGAGGAAGGTGCCATCAGCCTCCCAGCTGAGATTTCCCTGCTGCCTTTTTGGGGTGCACATGGCTTGCTGGGGTCAGCCTCACCTTGCCCCAGCAGCACGGCCCTGAGCGGGGGGCAGTCCTTCGGGGGGGAGCTCTCAGTGAGTGAGGAGAGAAGCTGGTGGATTGGCAGTCCATGGTAGCCACGCTGGAAGTCCTCACTGCCCAAATCCTTCCCTGGCCGAGAGTCCAGGGGATCCACAATTACCTGGGGGTGGACAGCGGGGGCTGTGGAAGGAGGCAGGAGCCCATGCTGCACTTGCCCATGCCCACTCCTGGCTTTTAGGCTTTTGATAGCCCTGGAGGCATAAGCTCTAAAGAGGTGTTATGATCTTTCTGGCCAGAAGCCTGGGAAAGCTGGAGCAGGGACACAGCTTGGGCAGGGCTGACCTGTCCTGCCTGGTGGAGGTCAGCCAGCCGTGTGTGGCAGTCCCAAGCACCTGGGTGCCCAGACTGCCCCTGGGCAAGAGCTCTTACAACAACCCATGGAGTCCCCAGGCTGTGGCACAGTTTGGTCCATCAGGTGCCCCCCAGCTTGGCTTGCCCAAGCAGGAATCCCCACACCACTGTCATGAGCCACGACACACAGCTCCTGCTTCCCAGCAGCGAGATCTCAGCTCCCCTTCTGCCTTACTGTTACTCCCCACATGCCTGCCTGTGCCTTTTGTGCTATTGGGTTTCATCCCTTTTCTATCCTGCTGGGCTCAAGGTCGTCCGGGTGGCTATTTAAAGATATGTGTCTGCCCAGGAGCAGGGAGCTTCACACGATCAGCATGTGGGACACGGCAGGGCCAGCTCTGAGGGGCATTTTCCCTTATGGAGTTACCTCCTTCTGCCAGTCACGGGTCACACGGCTCCGCCAGGGCACGGACTGGCTGGGCTTCTCAGCTGGCGGCGGTGGGATGGGGGGCAGCGCCGGCATTGTGGCAGGGGGCTCCTCCTCGGGGCTGGCCCCCCACTTTCCCAGCCAGGGAGGCAGCTTGATCCCAGAGGGATCCCTCCCAGTCTCTGGGGATGGCACCCTGCTGGGCACAGCTGGCAAGGCCACGGCAGGCGGCTCATCCGTGCCTGCTGCCTCCTGGGGCGGCCTGGCTGTGCCCGACGTCTCCTGGAGCCTCTTGGTGGTGGCTGTCAGCGAGTCCCCGCAGCAGGGGAGCCTCTCCACGGGCACACCAGGCTCGTCCCGCTGGACCCTGAACGGTGGCCTCTCCCCACGGCGTCCGGGGCCCACACGGCTCCTCAGAGCGCCCCTGCGGGTGGGAACGGACCCTGAAGAAAGGCAGCAGCACGCTTGCCGCCCGCTGCCGGGGCTCAGCCCCCTCCCCGCAGGCCGGACCCCCCACCCTGTCATTGCCCCGTGGCCCCCAGCGCCCGGCAGGCCCTGCCCCGACTCTCCCGGCCGGGGTTACCCCGAGGGCTCCCGCTGCCCGCAGCCCGGGCCGCACCCGGCTCCCGGCTCCATGGCGCGTGCGCGCGGCGGGACGCGCCGCTCTCCGTGGAGACGGCGCACGGCGGCCGCGCGCCCGGGGGGGAGGGGGTGGGGCCTCGCGCGAGCGCGCCTCCCATTGGCGGAGAGACCAGGAGGGCGCGTGGCCGTGGAGCAAACTGGGCGGGGCAAGAGGACGAGCTAAACGGATAACGGGCGTGGTCTCGAGGGAGTGGGCGGGGCGAGGGCGCGGTCGGCGTGAGGGGGCGGTGAGAGAAGGGGGGCTGTGTGGGACAGGGGGTGCAGGGACACGGGACACGGGGCTGTGTGGGACACGGGGTGCAGGGACACGGGACACGGGGCTGTGTGGGACACGGGGTGCAGGGACACGGGACACGGGGCTGTGTGGGACACGGGGTGCAGGGACACGGGACACGGGGCTGTGTGGGACACGGGGTGCAGGGACACGGGACACGGGGCTGTGTGGGACACGGGGTGCAGGGACACGGGACACGGGGCTGTGTGGGACACGGGGTGCAGGGACACGGGACACGGGGCTGTGTGGGACACGGGGTGCAGGGACACGGGACACGGGGCTGTGTGGGACACGGGGTGCAGGGACACGGGACACGGGGCTGTGTGGGACACGGGGTGCAGGGACACGGGACACGGGGCTGTGTGGGACACGGGGTGCAGGGACACGGGACACGGGGCTGTGTGGGACACGGGGTGCAGGGACACGGGACACGGGGCTGTGTGGGACACGGGGTGCAGGGACACGGGACACGGGGCTGTGTGGGACACGGGGTGCAGGGACACGGGACACGGGGCTGTGTGGGACACGGGGTGCAGGGACACGGGACACGGGGCTGTGTGGGACACGGGGTGCAGGGACACGGGACACGGGGCTGTGTGGGACACGGGGTGCAGGGACACGGGACACGGGGCTGTGTGGGACACGGGGTGCAGGGACACGGGACACGGGGCTGTGTGGGACACGGGGTGCAGGGACACGGGACACGGGGCTGTGTGGGACACGGGGTGCAGGGACACGGGACACGGGGCTGTGTGGGACACGGGGTGCAGGGACACGGGACACGGGGCTGTGTGGGACACGGGGTGCAGGGACACGGGACACGGGGCTGTGTGGGACACGGGGTGCAGGGACACGGGACACGGGGCTGTGTGGGACACGGGGTGCAGGGACACGGGACACGGGGCTGTGTGGGACACGGGGTGCAGGGACACGGGACACGGGGCTGTGTGGGACACGGGGTGCAGGGACACGGGACACGGGGCTGTGTGGGACACGGGGTGCAGGGACACGGGACACGGGGCTGTGTGGGACACGGGGTGCAGGGACACGGGACACGGGGCTGTGTGGGACACGGGGTGCAGGGACACGGGACACGGGGCTGTGTGGGACACGGGGTGCAGGGACACGGGACACGGGGCTGTGTGGGACACGGGGTGCAGGGACACGGGACACGGGGCTGTGTGGGACACGGGGTGCAGGGACACGGGACACGGGGCTGTGTGGGACACGGGGTGCAGGGACACGGGACACGGGGCTGTGTGGGACACGGGGTGCAGGGACACGGGACACGGGGCTGTGTGGGACACGGG